AAAAAAAGAAAAAAAAAGAGGGAATGAGAAAAAGAGAAAAGGAAAGAAAAGATAAAAATAAAAAAGGACAAGAAAAAGAAGTGATTATTTGAAGACATTTCAAAATGATATGATAGAATATCAATACATATATATATATATATATATATATATATATACTACTGTGTACGGTAAACGATTGGACAACATTTATGAGAAATGAATGATAACTAATAAAAATGAAACAATTTTTTAATAATTTTTCAATTTCCAATTAATTTGTGATTTTTATTTAATTCAATTTTACTAAGTTGACTATCAATTTTATTCCCAATCTTTTTTCATTTTTTTTCATGACAATTTTTTTCACTTCAATTTTAATCGCTAATTGTTACATTTTTTTCCGAAATCTTTCAATCAAATTTATTATGATTTTAAAAAGTCAAAAATTTCTTCTTTTCTTTTTTTTAAGCATACAAAAAAAAAAAAAATGAAAAGAAAAGAACAGGAAATTTTTATGGTACTTATCGAAATAGTTTTTCTTCTTTCTGCTTTTTTTTCTTTTTTTTTGTTTACTCTTGAGAGAAATTTTTTTTTTCGGAAGCAAATATGTTGTAATTTGTAGTTGGATCATTTGCTTTCAACACAATAAAATGAATATATCGGAAAGAGTTCAACGAAGCTTTAAAAAAAAAAAAATGAAAAAAAGGAAAAAATTTTTACTTTTTTCCTATGAAATAGTTCACTGGTAAATTATTTGAAAAACAGTAATTAATTGATGAGAAATGATCCAAGAAGCATTCAGAGAATTATTAGTTGGAAATAAAACCAAAAAAAAAAAAAAAAAAAAACGTAACCAACATTTTCACTAATTTCAAGCTATAAAAGTAGGATAAAATGTTAATGTCGCCAAAACGAGTATTAAAAAACTTTTTCGTTTTTTTATGGTAAAATTTTTACCAAATTTGTCATTTTTTTTTTCAACTAAAATGGATTGTTGCCAGTACGATAGGAAGTTGAAATGAATTACAAAAATTTTGTTCATTTTAATCGGTATTATCAACAAATTTTGTTTCTATAAATAATTGATCATATGGTATTATGAAACTTATAGCTATTCATAAAAACAAATTAACTAACGGTTGAAATTAATATTTTATTCAAAGTTTTTTTAACTACAGGTAAATGGAAGAAGATAGTTTGATGGTGATGCGTAGTATTACTTCGTTGATCAAACTATTTCTTATCAATTCTTCAAATATTACATAAAAATAGTTTTGTATTGTTTTATTGATTGATAAATTTTCTGCTCGATTTCTCAACCTTCTATAATAATAATTAACCATTACCTCGAAGAATCAATGGGGGAAATAAGCAAACGACCAAATAAATAATCAACCAATTAAGGATATTAGCAAGAAATGCTGAAATAAACTTAAAAAAGATTGGAGAAAGAGAGGAATGATTAAGGAAAATTTCAAATCATGAAAAATTTTACTGAAAGGGATATTAGTTAAGATCAAACATTACTTAAGTTTGCATTCATTTCAAAGCAATCATTGATTATTTTGAATACCTTTACAGAAAATAAGTTAATCAAATTATCTATCAAAATTTATAGAATGTTCATTAAATAAAGTAAAATACAGAAAATTAAGTCATTAAATAAAGTGGAATACAGAAAATTAAGTCATTAAATTATTAACTAATATTATTGATAGCATTAGTATAAAGTAATCATAATTCATCACGAAAATAATATATAATTTAATACGATATTTAATTAATTTAGTTATCATCAAGAAAGTTAGCATTGAAAATAGTTTCATATCATAATAAATCCTACCATGACTTGTATTTTGTCGTTTTTTTTTTCCGAAGAAGAAGAAGAGGAAGAAGAACTTTTTCGCTCATTTCATTTTACTTCGGTATTTTCCTTTTTTTTCTTTTTCAAAATAACAATTTTTCATCAGATTTAACAGGTTTTATGCATGACTAGTTCTGATCGTATACAATTCATCCAGAAGTGTCTATCTATCAAAATATAGCTATTGAAAACTTTACTCTTAAACTTA